AGGAAAGGAGTTCCTTTTCAACTTGCTTGGAATTCATTGGGATTCCTAAATCCAAGGTCTGGTGCCTTTAACCAAATCTGAAAATCTATCAGCCATCCTCTCTTTGGATAGTGCTTGTTGCCTTCTATGATTTCCTCCTGGAGCTTCAGATAATGTGCATCAAATTTTCTCTTGTCCAAATCTCAACATCTCTGCTATTTTCCATTCTTCTCTTCTTCTGTGGAATCCATTCTGAATGATTTGTTGAGAACTATATTCCATTCCACTAGTACCGCTTCAACTTCTCCAACCTGTTTAACCTGAGTTTTTATTTCAAATTTATATTTTTCCTAATTGAAAATGGCTTTTCTCTTTCTCTCTTTCCAAATCTGGATTGTTGTCCTCTTTTACTGTCAAATTTGTTTTGGTTTTATGATCAAAATGTTTTTTCATTACAATCTGTGGATCAATGCCAACATCTGAAGTATTTAAGGATCCGCTTCTGTGTCTTTTTTGTCCCCCTCTTCGCTCATGGTACCATATTTGCAGATCATAATTTTTGAGTGGGATTGCTCAGTGGCCTGAGCTTCTCTATGGGGATTGAAGCATTACAGGGATTTCATTTCCTTCTGGAAATCACCTGGAGGCGTGAACAACTAAATACCACTTTAATGGTACGATTTTGGGGGACCATACAGGTAGTACAAAATTTTGGACTAAAAACCCACAGGGGGCTGTCTTGTGGTTACGAACCCTCAGGTAAGATACTGGACTTATTTTTCCTTCCATCGAGCACCATGGTTGAGACAAAAAGTTCCTTGCTGCCCTCTGTTTGCAGTTCGTTTCTTGTTCACCTTGACATTGGGGGTACTCCAGCCTTACCTGGAGTCGCCTGCAAAAGTCCTTATTTCCTGTTTCCTATACCCTGTATAGTCACTAAAATAAATGCTTCAAGTCTGCTGAGTTTGGTAAAAAGTCTGGGCAGAAGCTAGCTTTAGCATTTGCTTACTTCTTAGGATTCCAGTTTTGACTTCGTTTTGAAGAGCTGTAGATTCCTTAGTTTTATGCTTGTTCATCAATGTGCTCATCAGAATTATTTATAAATACATGTACCCAGCATCTTGTTTCTGCTAAATGACATTTCAGATTATCTAATCCACCAGAATGCCAACAACCGAAGCCTTAACTAGCCCCAACTATACACACTACACTCCGTCCACTCTTGATCCTGACAAGAGCAGGTTGTAAAAACACCCAGAGCCCAAAGTTTGCAAATGACGAATGCTAATCTTGCCTTAAAAGGGGCGGGGGGGGGGGGGGGCCTGAAGTGAAGAACAGAGTAAGTGCCTAGCACAACTTCACCACATAACCCACATTTTCCTTTCCTCGGGCACAATCACCTTAGGGCATTCAGACTATGCCCCCGTTAGTACTAGAGATATCTGGGGATGCAAGATAGTATTCCCTTCTGCATCCTCACTGGAAGTGGAAGGACCTGTCCTTTTCAACAATACGAATGTATATGGAGAGAAATGTAGCACTTTTTCCTCAGCTAAAAATAAAACACCTTGCTTACAATAATGCTTATAGCTCTTACAATTATAGGAACAAGCGTAAAGCTCTTGACTCAATCCACTTGTGAATAGCTGGGCCTGGTTATTTCATACCATCATGAAGAGGAGAAAAACTAAGTCAGGAAATGATAATGCAGACAGACCAAAGGATGAGTATCATGGTTTCCCTACCTCGCTTCCTCCAGATTTCTCTCCATCCATGTTTGCCCCTAAATTCTGGGTGGATCAGTGGAATAAGTAATGCTTTAAGGGACAGCGTCAGACAACATGAAAGTCAGGAAGTCACAGGGTCTGAGAAAAAGAAATTCCCTCCTACAATGTCTTCTCTTTTTATGGTGCTTTCTTGAGGTAGGCTGTCTCTCAGAAGTAATTTAAGCTTCCAAACACCCCTCCTTGGCTTTAGTCAATGGGGTCACTATCTCCCCAGTCAAGGTACCCTTTGTAGGCAGAAGTGACACATTAGTCCAAGTCAGCAACTCCAGAAATTCTCTCTGCACTACAGGGCCCTCTATCAACGACTGGCTTCAGGCCTCAGCAGCCTAGACCTTATCTGCAGGACTCGATTTGAAGAGAGGTTTCTTGGGGTGCCTGGGTGGCTCAATTAAGTGTCCAACTTTGGCTCAGGTCATGATCTCACGGTTTGTGAGTTCAAGCCCTGCATTGGGCTCTGTGCTGACAGCTCAGAGCCTGAAGCCTGCTTCAGATTCTGCCTCCATCTCTCTATCTATCCCTCCCCAGCTCACACTCTCTCAAAAATAAATATTTAAAAAAAAATTTTTTTTAAGTTTCTCCTGCCTACACACTGGCCTAGCACTATTCTCTCAAATTCAACAGTAAGCAATTCATTCCTTTGACATAAAGTTTTCTGTATGAATCCTCCCTTACTGTAACTGTCATTACACTCACCATGAAACTAGTAATAGGGCCAGTGGAGTTGAAGCCAGTCATCCGGGATTCCAGTTTGAGGCCAAAACCTTAAGCAAGACACTAGATCACAGTCTCAAGTTACAATTAACTGACCACAGGCCATCAAAATATAACCTATGTGACTGATCAAGATTTCAGATTCCTGAGTCACTTCTATCAAATCAGTTTTTAGAAATGGGACATAGGGATCTGCATTTTTAACAAGCTTCCCAGGTAATGCTGGTGCACTTTTTCAAATCTACAAGGCCAGGTCTAGTTGATCTATTAAGTCTACCCATGAAAATACAGAGATAAAAAAAATAAATAATAAAAATTAAAAAAAGAGAAAATACTGAGATGAGCCTTTTTTAATCCTATACTTCAGATAAAAACAGACAAAACTGAGAAATAATGATCTAGAAAGGCCAGTTGGTCCTTAGTTCTTCCTGAGGGAGAGACTTCCAGTTTGTAACAAAGCACATTAGTTCACCAAGAAGTGGCCAAGTGAAGTCATACATTGATTTGAGCTGTCAGAAAGTACACTCCTTACAGCTATTTCAAAAACACGCTCACAAAAAAAAGCTTCTCTGAGGTATAAGAGTGGGGGAGCATCCCCTATAACCACTTCCAGGAAACAACTCAGGCTCTAAAGGATCAAGGAAGATAGGGGCAAATCTTGGCAAAATCCACAGGCTTCCTAAATTTGACATAAGAGATACCAAGAAGCTTCATAAGCATTGCTTACTCAGTGTTGACACTTGGGATATAGGGGCTTTACAGATCATTCTGTTTAACACCTTATTTTAGGTAGGGGCAGAGGAGAGCGTTTTTTAAAAGACCACAGATCAGGGCAGCTGGCTCAGTGGGTAAAGCATGTGACTCTTGATCTCGGGGTCATGAGCTCAAGCCCCACATTGGGCGTAGAGCTTACTTAAAAAAAAAAAAAAAGACAGATCTTAGTCACAAAGGACTCTCAAGGATTGTAAAGAGAAAGTGTCCATCTGTTTCATCCCTTTAAACCTAAGATCCACAATGCCTAGGACATAGAAGGTGGTCAGTAAATACTTAAGGAGATAAAACAAACGGACTGACCCAGGGAGAGGTAAGACATGTAAGATTTGTTTCTAGCCCAATGTCTGTGGATGATAAAGAATATAACAGAAATAAAGGCTATTCACCATTGGCCAGGTTTTTCTAGAGATGGAAAATCATCTCAAGTAGAATTACCACACCGCTTTGGAAAGCAAAGTTTTTGGCTCTGTGATTCATCCTGCTGATCTAAAACTACAACTGTCAGACACATATTAAGCATTAAAAGGGATCAGCTACAATGCTTAGATTTCCTGGTCTCACTAGCCCAACAAAGTTTTCATACCCAAGGCCTAGTTCAACAAAATTGAGACATGACCATCATCAGAAGCTATACATTTTTAATCTAAAGATTGGACATACAGCAAAGCATTTTACATGAATTCCCAAGGTTTTTCTTTTTTTTTAATTATATAACAGGAAATAGGGGCCCCAGAAAAATAAGTCTCTTTCCATAGGTCTTAATCCTTGGCCTCTGCAGTAAAGATAATCCCTGCCAACCCAGCAAGTGTTTGCGACTCACCCACATATTATTTGGTAGGACACAAAGCAGCTAAAGTCTGTCCCTTGTCTTCTTACTAAAGGATTACCGACAGCCTGAAAAGCAACATTCTGGCCCAGCACTCAGTAGTTATATACACGAGGCTTTTAATTCTACATTTTCATATTTATGAAATATAAGGGCATAATGGAGGAAGGCAATTGGAGTCGTTAGCTTCTAATCTTCTACCCATAAATGTTAAATGTTCAAGAGGGACATGTATTGCAATGGGCTTTTGTTCAACGTTACTTATGTCAAATGTTGCATAAGAATTCCAGTGACTAAGAAAGCCATTAATTCCTTATACTTGTTTCCTATCTCTAGTTTAGCAATAAACTTTCCGTGCCCCACATTTAATTTTTAAGAATCTTGAGAGGAAAAAATGTTTCATATGTAATTACAAAGAATGTTGCTTGGTGAGAGTTGGGAGTGAGCTCAGAGTAATTCCATCCCGGTAAACCCCTTCTGGCTGCTCTGGAGAGGACACTGATACACATAAGGAAATAACCGAGACAAAATAGGAGGGAAGAGATACAGCTTAAAGTGAAGAAATGACACAGACCCCCCACATACACACTTTAAAAACTTTATTTATATAAAAAACTCATTTGTTTTTAAAAGCATTAACAAGAGAGAAAAGGAAAACAGAAAATGTATGGAGCAGAAGACATGCCCCTTAGTAGTGTTCGGTGGGGAGGTGGGATTTTTGGTTCTCTGGAATTGAATGTTTAGTGTTTTTATAAACAAAAAAGAAAAAAAAAATAGTTAAAAGGTCCCCAAAAGCCCATGGCTGTTCTATTACCCACACCCCACCGAGAAAAAGAGCACCAGGAAGAGCGCAGAAGAGGACTAGAGAAACCAAGAGTGGAGCCAGGTCCAGATGGGGGCTATTTCCCCTGTGCAGTATGTTCTCAGGGCCACAGAGAGGAAAAGGCTCCTTTTTGCCAGAAAAGGAGTGGGAAGAAATGGGGGGGAGAGGGGGAGGTAAATAAGGGATTTTAATGCATAGGGGAAAGGAAAGGGGGGGGGAGTTGTGCACTTGTCTCCTACCCCATAGCCTCAATATATAAGGGAAGGGGGAGAGAGAAGGATAAAGATTTCCAGTTGCATTGAACAGAGCTTTTAGATTTAGGGGGAGTAAAAGGCAAATAAGGATTTAAAAAAAAAAAAAAAAATCAACCAGCATAGCAGCTGATTCCTCTAGCTCAACCCACTAATAAACACTAAACAGAAAGGAGGAGATGCTGGGGGGGAGGGGGGCAAGGAGGGCACAGATGCGACTTCCCTCCAGCCCCTTGGGAGATGACGGTAAATTCCGGGCAACTGAGGAGTAAGAGTCGCACCACTCACTCCTCCCATGTTTTGAGATTCATCAGAACCGGATTTTTGCAAAATCCCAACCATATACTATGAAGCAAAGCTGAATGGCTGAAATCAGAGGCTCTACCAATTCCCAACGGAGAATCTGAGGTTCTCCAGGTCATCCCTCCTTTCTGCTAGTTAGGGCCAATGGTGGGTAAGAAAGCAACAAAATGTAATTTGCAAAATCATGAAAATGAGACTGCAGAGGCAAAGAAAGGCACATGGAAGGGAAGGAGGAGATGCACCCCAGGCCAAAGGCACAAAGAAGAGGCAAATCCAGGGGCGATCCCCCACCTTTTAAGGGTAAAGGGGGCAGGAGTATGTACATCAAGTCCTTTTGTCAGCCAACCAATCCAGGGGAGAGGCAGGGGAGGACGCGACTAGAAGGGGAGGAAAAGGAGAAAGAAGGGCAGCGGGGGAAGCCAGCTTCAAAGCTTCCTGCCAGTTTCAGACTAACTGATTCCTGTGCATTCCTACTAGCTCCTGCTAGAGGTTCTTCTCCCCAGAAGACATCTTTCTGCTCCTTCTCACCCAAAAAGTCTTGCTTGACACATTCTCCTCTTTCTATAGCTTCTTGCAAATGGCCAGGCCAAGTCAGCAGACATTATCACAGGGTGGGAGAGGAAGATTAAGGACAGCCTTAGTAAAGGGCAGTGGCAGCAGCCGAGGGTTGGCATGAGGCTTGGAGAAGAGATGGAGTCTGTAGGTCCATAATGGTCCCTGCCCTGAAGAGGAGAGCAAGGTTTCTTAATCTCAGTTCTAGGAGACCTTCACTTACTCAAGGGCCCAGGTGGAATGTGCCAATGTTGCCAGCCTTCTTGGATTTAAAAATAGTCATCAGGCATACGGGAAGAGTTCACACTTCCGATTCTCCAAAAAAATAAAAGTCCCTTCCCCACCAAGAAAAGAAAAATCTTGATTAAGAATCATCAGTTTATCAGAGTGCTGGAACACTGCATAGACAGCATGTAACTTCCAATTCTTCCCACGGCCTCCAGCGAGGGCTCCTCTCTCTCCCTCCCTCCACACAAGGCCAAGAGTTCCAGGGAGAACTGGCAAAAATAGCTAATTTGCAGCAGTTTCTCAAGATATGCATATAACTGAGTCAGGCTTCTTGGGAGCAACTGGAGGGGATCTGGAGTGGGGAGGAGGGACAATTAAGCTTCACTGGAAGGAGTTAGGAGTTGGTAGAAAGAAGGTGGCCACTTAGGGCTCTAAGGGCAGGAGGCAGCCTGGCAGTTGGCACAACAGTCCAGCGAAGAAAGGAAAAATCATCGGTCCATTTCACCACCAAAAAATAAAAGTACATATATTATAAGCCCAGCTGTAGTGGAGATAGTGGTGCTAAATCTTCTGCTGTAGGGAAAAAAAGAGAAAGAAATGTTAACAGGGTTGGGATTGAGGAGAACCAAAAGACAGTTGAGCAAATCCGGAGGGAGGAAGGCGGCACATAACGGAGAATCAGATCACCAGAGGCATGTCCCAACCTCTTGAGAGGCAATAATCACAGAAGCAGCACCCCCAAGCTCCAAGTGGCTGAGACTAGGGTCTCTGGCCCGATCAGATCAGCTTGATTGGCAAATTGCCGCCACACAGGGCCCTCCTTCCTCAAGGACGATCTTGGGGGTGGCTGGAGGACATACCATGGAGGGGCTGGACACTTGGTCCCCCTCATCATCCAAAACCAACACATCCAACTCTTCCTCCAGAGATTCCTGCCCCTCGTCCTGCTGTGAACACATGCAATTTGTTAGTACGAGAGTAAGGAAACAGAAACCTCGTGAGTATGTGCCAAATCTAAGGAAGATCCCAAAGCTGGTCAACTCAAATGAAACAAGGTAATAGTAAGAAAGGGGCAAGATATTTGAGAAAAGGCAGGGACAGGAAGAGAGTAATGAATGAGAATAGATGAATTAGCATTAGTCACATCAGCAATGCATTTATGGTCTTCCTTCTCCTAACCTTACCCACTGTAGAATTATGGCCCAAGAAATCTCAGTATGAATCAAACTCCTACTTTTCCTGAAAATTCCTACCAGAAAAGGATACTGTCTTTCACTACTTTCTTCCTATTTCACAAAATATGGAGGTTTCAAAACAGAACTAGCCTTAGAAGGACAAAAGAGTATATAAAAGAGAATTTACCATCAGGGGTGTTCCCTTCAATGGCTCCATTTCACCTAGATCCCCGGATCGATCCAGTGTTCTGTTGTGGTCCCCTCTCTCGTTCAGTGTGGAATAGTTGTTGTCTAATGAAAAAAAAATACAAAAAACACGATATTCCTCTGGTGTACCATACATAGTAAGCAGGTAAGTGTGAATTAGGCACCCCTGTTGGGAAGTAAACTTTGTCAAATGCTCCAGAAAGGCATTAAGGTCTAGTCCTTGACTTAAGGTCCCTGACTTAAAAAGAACTTGAATCTAATTGGGAAGACAATTAAATGAAATACACAGAGTAGGACATATGACAAAGCAAAACAGAAGAGATCTGACTATCAATGGTATTGGAATTAAGAAGATAGGGTGGAGGTGCTGCAACAGTCAGGAAGAGCCTAACACAGGAGACAGGACTTGGTTAAGCCTCTGGGGATGAAGAAAATTTAGCGAAGCAAAGGGGAAGAAGAAGAGTATTCTGGTAGGAAGTATTCTCCGAGCAAAATTTAAAAAGTACAGAGTAAAGAGACAAAATAGAAAATTAGACCAGGTGGGCTGAAACAGAGTACATGAAAACAAGATGGAGACGGAGCCTGGGGTCAGCCTGTGAAAGTCTGTAACAATCAAGTTTAAGAACCCAAACTTGATTCTGTAGTAATTGGGGGTGGGGGGGTGGGGGAGAGGGTGAGGGTAAATGAAAAAAAATTTTTTTTAAACCTTTGAATATGTGAGAACATGGAAGAAAGTAGAAAGATCAAGTTTCACTAAATCTCCTCACATCCTTCCAAATAGAAATGTCCATGCAATGAATGCTCTCCCGGGATGGTGAATGGTGAACGTGCTAGAAAAAAACTGCAGGGCCAGACAGTTCTCATCCCAAAGAAATGTTAACTCCATGTCCTTAGGCAGGAATTACACCTACCTAATGATTTTGTGTTTGATCCCATACTGCTCATCTGAATTTCTTCCCGATCAGGTTTCTTATCTACATGGAGTCAAAAAGTTATCCAGGTCAAAAACCAACTCTTCAAAATCTATACTCATTATAAAAATTGCTCTCTGGTCGGTCCTTCCTCCCATCAAATTCTTACTGAGCACCTACTATGTGCCAGTCACTAGACAAAGCCCTCATGGGACTTAAGAGATTCCCTTCCAATGGACCTCTAACATAAGAACTATTCACTCTTAACAAGCAATTGTTAAATTATTTGGTCTCCAGACACCTTTACACAGTCTTAAAAATTATGAAGATCCAAAAAGTATTCATTGGTGTAGGTTATATGTATTACTATTCTACTATACCGAGAAATTTTTAATATTTCACTTAAAAGTAAAAATAGGGTAGCACCTATTTTTGGCTCAGTTGGTTAAGCACCCGACTCTTGATTTCGGCTCAGGTCATGATCTCACAGTTCAAGCCCTATGTCGGGCTCTGTGCTGACAGTATAGATAGCCTACTTGGGATTTTCTCTCCCCCTCTCTCTCTGCCCTGCCCCCACTTGCACTCAGACTGGCTCTCTCAAAAATAAATAAATAAATGAAAAAAAAAATTTTAAGTAAAAATAGGGGCACCTGGGTGGCTCATTTGGTTAAGCTTCTAACTCCTGATTTCAGCCCAAGTCATAATCTTAAGATTCATAAGATCAAGCCCTACCTCGAGCTCTGTACTGATAGTGCAGAGCCTGCTTGGGATTCTCTCTCCCTCAGCCCTCCTCTGCTCGCTCTCTCTCTCTCTCAAAATAAGCATTTTTAAAAAAAAATTAAAAAAAAAACCCTTATTCCATGTTAACATAACACTTTTAGTAAGTTTTAAAAGCAGGTTTGTGGGGGGGGGTTTGTTTTGGGGTTTGTTTGTTTTACATTTTTGCACATGTATTTAAAGTTTGGCTTAATAGAAGATAGCTGGATTTTCCTATCTGCTTCTGCATTCAATCTGTTGTGATGTTATTTTATTTGAAGTATATGAAGAAAATCCAGCCTCCCATAAAAAAGTTGGAAAAAAGGAGAATTTCAACAATCTTTTCAGATAATTGTGTATATTATTTGATAGTACACTAATACATAAGTAGAATTTCTCTAAAGTTAGCAATAATGTGGAATCCGAATGTGGAATCTGAATTCAAATGAATGATCTCTTCTTCATACTTGGTTAAATTAAAATGCATTGGTCTGTCTTGCACTTTGAATGGGCCAATTACCCATGCATGATTCTGAAACATCACACATTAGTCATTTAGAAAATACTGGTTCATAGAGTAATGCAGATCTTCTAAATGTTAACACATTTCATTATACAACACCAAAAAAAAAAAAAAAAATCACAGTCATTACTATAACCACTGGTTTCATTAAAAAGTCTTTTGGGGCACCTGGGTGACTCAGTTGATTAAGCATCCAACTCTTGATTTTGGCTCAGGTCATGAACTGTTTCATGATATTGAGCCCCATGTCAGGCTCTGCACTGGCAGAGGAAAGCCTGCTTGGGATTCTCTCTCTTTCCCTCTCTCTCTGCCCCTCCCTGCCCCATAAATAAACTTTAAATAAAATAAAGTCTTTTAAATATAGGGTGTTACCAGGCTCATAATGGCAGGTACAAGTTTGCCAAAATTATAATTTTCACTTGAAAATTCAGGCAACAAGTACTGTCAGTTGTTTTTCTCAAAGTAACAAGCTCACTGCATTCATTTTTGAGAAAATGTCTAGCAAATACTCAAGTCTGAATAACCATAGCTTGCCATTTTTTCCAAAGTGAAAACAGCATTCCAGAAAAAGAGTGGCTGGTCCACTCAGAAACTCCAGCTAGAGCACCCGTGCTTTCCCTCAGGTCCACTGTCCCACTCTGGGTGCAGCACAGGGCTCGCTGAGTACTTCCTATTTCATCAGCACGGGAGATTTCAAAAAGACACGTGCTCAAGGTCACAAACAATAAAAGTAGTAATTCTTGCAGCTCCATCAAGTACATTCACAAGTGAAACTGGCTTCTGTAAACTGTGAGTACATGGCCACGAAGACTAAGACGGCTAGTGTGGTGAGGGGTTGGTACCACAGCTGCTGCTGCAAACACCCCCACGGCTTAGGCACAGCCAGCAAAATGTCAACAGACATGGGGATCCTCACACCACATCTCAAGAACCCTAATGTTGGGGCGCCTGGGTGACTGAGTCGGTTAAGCGTCTGACTTCGGCTCAGGTCATGATCTCACAGTTCCTGAGTTTGAGCCCTGCATGGGGCTCTGTGCTGACCGCTCAGAGCCTGGAGCCTGCTTCGGATTCTGTCTCCCTCTCTCTCTGCCCCTCCCCTGCTCGCACTCGCACTCTCTCTCTCTCAAAAATAAAATCATTAAAAATAAAAATAAACAACCCTGATGGGGGCAAAAGCCAAGTGTCATCAAGGTAATAAGCACTACAATATACACTCTATGTGAAAAAGAAAACACTTCATAAAACAAAATACATTAATTCATCTTTTGGGGGAAAAATTTATTTGCTCACACAGCAAAAGTTTTTAAAAGTTAAAACCACGAACAGCAGTGGTGATCTCTGGGTAATAGAAAAATGTAGTTTTTAGGGCGCCTGGGTGGCTCAGTCGGTTAAACATCCGTCTTTGGCTCAGGTCATAATCTCACGGTTCGTGGGTTCGAGCCCGGCATCGGGCTCTGTGCTGACAGCCAGCTCAGAGCCTGGAGCCTGTTTCAGATTCTGTGTCTACCTCTCTCTCTGATCCTCCCCTGCTCACACTGTCTCTCTCTCTCTCAGAAATAAATAAAAAACATTAAAAAAAAAAAAGAAAGAAAGTGGTTTCTGTTGTTATTTTTCTGGATACTTGAATTTTCTAATTTTTCAACAGTCCATGTATTACATGGTATTATGCAGAAATATAAAACCAAAAAATAATCTTTATGTGATATACACACACATCAAAGCACTATGCTGTACACCTTAAATGTAACAATGATATATGTCAATTATCTCTCAAATAGAGAAAACAGTTTAAGTCTGCAAACAAAGACAGAGGATCACTTCCAGTCTATTGCCTGCTTTCTAACGTTCAGGCCCACCGGTTTCTGTGGTACAGTCCTGAGGTGATGCATTATTACCATCTACCAAAAGACTAGCTCATACAGTAACAAATATATATTCTATCCTACGGGTAGTAAGCTCACTAATGAACAGAAGTGGTGGAATAAAAGCAGAGGGGTACACCCTCCACCCCCATACTGAACCTGATTTCTGGTTCCGGTCAATGAGAGGGAGAGTGCTGTCATCATATGAATGACTGCTCTGGCTTCGAGAAGCATTGTTTAGATTCACCTGGAGGCAAACATAAAATGTATCAATGTCACAGAATACTGAATTCACCCATATCTTACTCCCCAGTGGGCACAGATCTTTAGGTCCCTATTCCCAAATATAGCTCTTACCAAAAGGGACCTCATAAGGGGTTAAATATCTGTATCGTGAAACAAATGAGGGTTTTGTGGCTTCTATTTATGTCCCGAACAAGAGATTAGAGGTACACTCATACCACCAGGTGACAGTTTCCAGTAAATTCCTTCAAGGGGCTATGGCACAACATCTGGGGAAAAGTCAAACAGGCCATCTTCCCTTGTCCCCCCCAGCGTGGACAGCATGCTGTGGTACTGAGGGGACCATAGCTGTTTTGGCACCAAATGAACCATAGCACCGTTCTTTTCAGGGAAGGAATAAACCGAATGATCTCCTTACTCACAGAGACTTGGGATAAAGCAGGACTTAAGGAAATAGTGAAGTGGAAGTAACCAAAGACAAAAGTGTACATGAAATCAAGGGAAAAAAGGATCAGGTCTCAGGCCCAAGACTTACTCTACCTGAAAGTCTGATTTCTTCCATCCTTCTTTTTCCAGTGGCTTCCGCAGCTCCTTATATCCCCAGATTGTCTGTAATACAAGTGCTGCTGCTCGGACTTCCTTTTCTGAACGGTTCCTTTGGTGGAAAGTAATACAACATGGAATTTGGATGTTAAGACCAGGGAAGAAGCTGAGAACCTGTACTCTCTAACATAATGTAACATAAGAACAGAAATGCCAAAATGGGCAAGATCAAATATTCACCAACTTCTGTATTGGGTCCCAAACAGTGACACAAAAAAATGTTTGATGCAACAGTCTGTTATCAATTTTAAGCTCCACATTAAAGACAAAAAACAGGGGCGTCTGGGTGGCTCAGTCAGTTAAGCGTCCAACTTCAGCTCACGATTCAAGCCCCTCATCGGGCTCTGTGCTGACAGCCAGCTCAGAGCCTGAAGCCTGTTTCAGATTCTGTATCTCCCTCTCTCTCTGACCTCCCCTGCTCATGCTGTCTCTCTCTCTCTCTCTCTCAGAAATAAATAAGACACTAAAAAAAATTTTTTTTAATAAATAAAAAAGACAAAAAACAGAGCATTATCTCTTCACACTTTATACGTAAAATAAGAAAGTAAACACGAACACTCCTTCCCAGTAACTCCCCTCTCCACACAAACTCTTCCAGTTGTCATTTTCAGTGTTAAACTCACCCTGATTTGTTGATCAACACCAACTTCTCAATACCCTGTGTCTCTCGAAGCTTCTTGGCAGCCTCCAGGTTCTCAGCAATAACCTCATTGATGGTGTTCAAAAGAGAGACCACAGTGTCCTCAGAGAAATTCTGGGAAGAGCTCTGCTGCCCTCCTGGCAGGTTCTTTACCAAGTTCGGAATAGCATGTTTACCTACAGCGTTAAGACAGAAGTAGGGTGTGCAGGAGAAAAACCAAGTCCGGTATGAGGAGCCTAATGCTGTACTTAATCACACTGATCATATGAAGTGCAGGCAATGTCCACATCAATCAACTTCATTCTGCTATGGGGTTATCATATCAGAAGAGCCATGAACGTATGGTCCTTCTTACTCCTTTATTTATTCTTCCCTTTAGTCAAATTGAAACTATGTGAATACTTTATATCAAATATGCTACAGTCTTTTCAGATATTCTAAGGAATACAGTATACATATTCCATATCGTAACACTGTAGTTCAATAGAATAGTCATTGTGAATTTAACAAAAACCTGGGCTCTGCCGTGATCCACCTGTATTAATTAACTCTGGGCAAATTACCTAACTTCCCCTACAGTTTCTTGACTGTATAAACATCAGACCTTTGTAAAGTGGGGAGGACTGAATGGGAGCGCACACAAGTGTTTAACGACGCCCACTAACAAAGCAAGTGCTTAATAAAGAATACTGGTTTTTATTCTAGTTTTGAAGAGTGATCACTTCTGGTCTTTCTAGGACCATTAAACTAGAACCCTTAGAGTCACAAACTTACGGAGGGCTAGCCAGGATAGGATCCCTCCTCTCAGTCACTTCAATAATGAAGTACTTAGCATCTGCCAGATTAAAAGGCATGGTACTGGATGCTGAGATTAATGGTGTGCGATCAACTCCTTACCGATCAGTTCTTTGTTGCGAGCATCTACAGCCAGATTTCTCAGTGCTCCGGACGCAGCTTTCACTACGCGCTCGTGTTCATTGGTCAGGAGGTCGGCAATGGCAGAAAGAGCCTTCTCTTGACGTAGAGCAGAGCGGATGTATCGGCCATACTAGAAGGAACACACGGGAAGAGGTGGAACAGATTACAAATGGTGGCAAACTAGTTAGCTACGTTTTCCCATCTCTAAGTCCATCTTTGAAAAGGTACCCACCGTCCAGCGCCCAGCGCACAAGTTCTGGATGGCTCCCGCCGAGGCTTCCAGGATAGCAGGAGTCTTGCTCTCCTTGAGGAGGGAGATATATATCCGAACCACCTCTGGCTGAAACAAAAGCTCATAGCCTGCATGAGAAAGGGCAGGAAGGCAGAGGATGCTAGTCATTACCTAAAACAGGGGACTCTGGCTGGTTCAAGTCCAGCCTCAGCACTCGGGATTGATGGATTTATGCTCCTGTACCATGAGGCTCCCTAGACTCTCCCCCTCACCCAACAGCAAACCCAAAGGCTTGATTCCCAAAGGCATTCTGAAGAATAATTCATCCATGGGAAGAAGAGAACAGACCTCAACTCATCACCTGCAGCTCCTCTCTCTCCTTCCTCCCTGCCTCTCCTCTTCCACAGTTTACTTTGGCCTTGGCACTCAAGGCATTCATGTGCCCACTGACAGCACTCAGGGTTAAAAATTCCTCATCTCAAATGAATTATTTCTAAGTTAACGGAGTCATTCTGCTCACCTTTACTATGACCAAGTAAAAAGGCCTATCCTAGATTTAACAACATCTAAAATTCTTACATCCATGAAGAGCTGTGAATTTTAAACTCCCTGTACTAGTTAACATAAATACCCAAACTGTGAGAAAGAGGCTTCTTATAACAATTAAAGTCCTCAGGACAGGAGTGGTTACTTAGAGCACCTCCGTTTCTGGCCTAGACTGCCATCAGGACCTTACCTATCCTCCAATAATCTGAAAAGTTTGCCACAACAAGCTTTCATAAGTTACCACTGCAGTACCAGCTTCCCAGGGCTCCCCCATCGCTCACGCTCAGAGTAGGAGGAGAGAGAACAGTGATCATACTGCACAGTCTACTGTTAGGCTACCAAATGCTTATCTGTGGACCATGTGTCTGAGATTGAGATCCCTGGAGACTAAAAAGAAAAAGACAACTTACCCCGAGCAGGACTAGTTCTTTTGGGGAAGTCCACTGTATCGTTCGCTGGATCCTCTGTGGGTTTTTTCCCTTTGAAAATTAAAAAAAAAAAGGGGAGGGGTAAAAAGTTTAAGAAAGAAAAGGGTCCACATGGTATACTTTTCATCCTTCAGTCAAAATTTTTGGATCAGAGATGTGTCGGGGGGGGGGGGGGGACAAACAAAAACCAAACACCAAGGTCCCCCCCAGCTGCCCCAGCAGGGGCTGTGCAGAAACAAGGACAGAAAACAGGCGGCAGACAGTAAGATAGGGATGAGCACCGTTGTCACCGTGGCCCTGAGTTCTGATAGCTGGGCCTGCTACCCATACACAGCATGCCATGAGCCAGTAGCTCCAAAGACCTGGACTTGTTTCAATGGTCCTTCCTACATGCATCCACAGGGAAGGGTTAGGAAATACTAGGGAAGCTAAAACCAAAGCATGCAAATTAGAAGTCGATAAGCGCCTTAAAAGATTCCACTCACCTCTGGAGAACCACTCATCTTCCAGCGCGTCACCCAAGGTGGAAAGCAGACAGAAATGAAGGAAGAAAAATGCAGGAGAGAGATGTCAACAGGATCATGGGCAAATAAGCAGGGAAACAGGGAGGAAAAGAAGAACACAGGAAACACAAAGGAGGAACGGGGGAGAAGGCCCCAGATTAGTTGAGTTCTCATCCTTCACTGCCCCCAAAATGATACCACTAACCACCACCACCACCATGGTCACCACCGTGAATGGAGCACACGACACAGGGAAGCGGCTGCAGAGCGAGAAGGTATCCTTGTCAAGGCAGACGGACGTACCGTTCAGCAAGTATTTTGTGCCTAAAGCTAAAAGAGTTCCTTCCCCTTCCCATCCTACATTAGAGAGCAAGGAACAAAGAACCAAGACTCACCTTTGCCCTTCTTGGCCCCAAAGCAACTCGCAGCATGTGGCCCAGTATTGTTGGCAACGTTAGGAGGTGCCTCTTGGTAACGCTCTGCTTGTGGGATCTCCCGGTGAACTTGGTACGACAAATTCCGAAGAAGGCAAACGCAGTTCTCCACAAGCTTAGGAACAAAAGATAAAGGGCACGGTGAGCAGCAGAATGCCTATAGTGACTTCCCAGCAATGACTCAAGGATTAGAACACTGATCCCAATGGATCATCTCTCACAAAGCCTCTGAAGTGCACCAAGTTTGTCAAAAATCCTTGCAGCCTCAGGCTAAGGGAAGGTTTCTGCCACCATTTGGTGTGTGACACAAAACCGAGGGTCACCCTGACTTTTTCCTACTTAGGAAAATATAGAACCTTGGAAATATAGCTAAACAGCTTTAAAATAGATTATATGGGAAAAGGAAATTCTAAGGAAAACCGTTTCCTTCTAAGGTGAACAGCTGCTTTAGGGAACAAGTACCTCAGGTCACATGAAAGCCCGCGATGGTGCTCTGCATTACAGCTGCCTCATGGCTGCCGTGAATGGAATTCACTCAGCCGTTCACTTACCTTGCTGTCTGAATCCTTCTGCCCAATCTCAGCCTGCACAATGAAGATCAAGGCATCCACTAAACCATCACATTCCCGAAGTTTCCGGCGAGCCTCACTCCTCTCGGAGCTGACATTCCTGAGGGGGAAGGGAGAGGTTTCAAGATGACTCAAATCTAGAAATCCTCTCTTAATATCTTCAACATTTACAGGCTTCCTCCATACCTTTTCTTTTCACTCTAATGAGTAGTGAGTACTTGTTATAAGCAAGGTACTGCAGTTAGAGCAAGCCGAGTTCAGACAATCCCTACTTTCAGGACATTTATACCAACAACAATACTTTAAGATAGAATAGATACTTCTTGCATGGAAGAAGGGATGAAGAATGGGACAGAGCACACAGAGTGTACTCCTAAGAGAAAAAGAAGAAATCAGGAAAAATTTCATGAAATAAAGGCATTTTTGAGTTTAGCCTCTAAAGATAAATAAGGAGGGGCACTTGGCTGGCTCAGCTGGTACAGCGTGTGACTCTTGATCCCAGGGTTTTAAGTTCTAGCCCCACAATGGGTGCAGAGATAATTTAAAAAAAAAAAAAATCTGTAGAAAAAAAGATACAAGAGGGGTGATAAAGACTGAGGAAGAACAGGTCCTCCCCCTATCCTTCGAGTACTTTGTGCTCCTTTTGTTCACTCATCGCGGCCTTACTTGAAATACAGATCACTAAGGACAGGGACACAGACACGCATACAAGCTCCAAGCTCAGGACTCAACACCTGCCTCACATGTGGCAGATACTGAACAAATGTTTACGAATTAAATGCACAAAGTCAAAGAGGCACGGGAGTGAGGTTGTGCAGGGAACAAGTAAACCAGCATAGCAAACGTATGTGGCATACAAAGGAGTAGTGACACAGGGAAAAGACAGGCTGGAGTCACAGGATGTAATATAGATACGAATGGAGGCTGAATGACAGGCCATCAAATTTAAAAAGAAAGACAAATTTTTTAAATTTAAGTCAGTCCTCAAAAATTCAGTCTTTGTACTCTCGAAGCCCTTACATTACCTAAGACAGCCAGCTGTGTTGGTGAGCACCGACTCCCACTCAATATGGCGCGGCTTGCAATCTTCATTAGGTTCCCGCTCCCAACCAGAATGCGGGATGATCACCTCATCTGTCAAAGCATGCAGAGCATGGTCCACAATCTCCATTTTGATTGAGTCATGGGATGAGAGATTCCACAGGGTTCCTGGCAGAGACAACGTATCAGACATGTCTCCGACACCCAGCACAGGATGTCTTAAGAGAGCCCAAGAGAACCCCCTACCCCATCATTTCTCAGTCTTCCCAGTATATCATAATCTGGAACAACCAGATACATTATACACATATTTAATCTTTTGTTTGGGACCCACAGTAAGAAATATACATTATGGCTCAACATACACATCACACATATATCCATATATATCACAAAATAAAATGTCACAAAACAATACTTAGTGTAAGCAATGCTCTCTGGGCTACCTACACCAGAGTTTCTCAACTTCAGCGCCACTCACCTCTTAGGCCAGATAATTCTTTGTTGTGGGAAGCTGACCTGTCCACTATTAGATGTTTAGCATCTCTGACTTTTACTCATTAGATGCCAGTAGCACTCCCCCCAAGCTACGTTATGACAACGAAAACTGTCTCCAGACATTGCAAATGTCCCCTGTTGGGCAAGATCAGTCCTAATTTGAGAACTAATAATCTATCCTATTTCTTGTTCTTTCTTTCTCTTGAAATACTGATTGGGATTCAGAAAACTGTATTCTATGCACTAATGGATCACAACCCACAACATGAAAAACAATTCTTCTAAAGCAAGGACCGTAAGTTCAATTGTCTACACACGCCAGGCAGGTATGTCAGAAGCAGGTATTTAAAAGACATTACAAGAGAGTGGAAAAACGGCAAACAGACACTCCGCTTCACTGTTGGGAGACAACTTCCTACACGGCAGTAGTTGGCTAAAGACAATAGAATACGTTCAGGATTATTACAAACCGGAGCACTCACATACCAATCAGCTCAGACCAACTGTCAGGGAGCAAAACAGACCCACAATTACCAGTCCTTGCATGTTTTTAACTGAAACCAAGAATCTGGAATTTTAAGTGAAATCTTCTGAATTTTAAACATCAGCAATCCATTCTTTAAACTTTTGAAAACCTTGCATGATCCAAACAAATCTATGAGATGGACATGACCCAAAAACCACCAGTTCATGAGCTTGACTCAAAAATAAAAGGACTGGACGTCTTTCTAGCTCTCAACATCTCTAGGGGTAAGAGTGACCCCAAACGAGCAGTCCCCTTGTGCCTGTAACTCACCGGTAATGACTTCAGTGAGGTCCATATCACGAGCCTTTCGGAGCAAGCGCACAAGGGCGGGAACACCATCACAGTTTTTTATGGCGATCTTGTTATCCTGGTCACGTCCAAAAGAGATATTCTTGAGAGCTCCACAGGCTCCAAGATGCACTTCCTTTTTGGGGTGGTCTAACAATCCCACCAGTACTGGGATCCCCTTGAGCTTCCGAACATCGGTCTTCACCTTGTCATTGCGATAGCACAAGTGCTGCAGGTACGCTGCTGCATTAGACTTGACGGCATCCAGGCGGAACCCTAACATGGCTATCACCTCCGGCAGCTCTGGCTGTCTCCAGTTGGGGGGTGGCGGCCCTCCCTTGCGCAGGCTATCCAAGCTTGCTAAACTTCCCCGCTCATGCTGGGCCAGAGGAGCCCAATAGTACTGGTCGGACGGCACCTCCTCACCAATCATGTCTTCATAGCTCCTGCAGTAGTGGAAGAACCCAGAGGAAAAGGCAAATATTATCAAGTTGTAGAGTCTGGTTTCCCGGTGAGCTCCCATTAGCCCTAATCTCCAAGGCAAGAGTAAGTTCAGCTCCAGTACCACTAGATCTTACCTCTCCTTTGCATAAATGATATACTGATCAATTTTTCTTAAGGAGATAAGGTAAACAATTTTAAAGGCCTCTGCAATTAGATTAAAACCACCTGTCAAGTTTACTAGCCTGGAGAAGAGTTAACAAATACTCAGAGACATTAATCTCACACACACACACACACACACACACACACACACACACACTCCCAAATCCTGACTGCTTAGCACTTAGTGATACCTGACAGCTAACCTCTCTGGATAGAGACTGAAATAAACCCTCAGATGACAGAGTTAAAATCAAAGAAGTCAGCAAACAATGTCTGAGAACAGTTCTTATAAGCTGTTAGCTAAACAGGAAATGAGGCATTTACACACAGGAAACAGCTGCTGGGATTAGACCCTTAAACACACTTCTTATTTAAGCCTCGCCTTATCTTATTTTGGAAATTACAAGAGAGGAGGTGGTAAGAGTAAAAACAGCACAGGCCTTCTTGGTACATCACCTGAGGACCTGGCTTTGGTATGAGCTTGACCATTAATGTTTACAGTTCACCCCAACATCATCTCTGCCACTCAACAAATGTGTAGGACATAGGATTTCTAGCCTCTAATTCCTAAAGACAACACCTCAGATTCTGTCAAAACATGGGCTACTGAACACACAGCATTCGGGATACCCAGTCACTGAGAAAAGAACAAAAACAAAACAACTGAAGGTTTAGAGAAAAGTCTAAACTATTTCAGTACTTCCAGACACCACTAGAGGGTGAATCTGTCACACTATTATTTATTCATAACCACCAGGAAGGAAGCGACCCATTATCTGTGAGCTCATCTCACTCTCTGGGTCCCATAGGAGACAGGAGAATCTATTGTGTGGAACTCTCCAAATGAGCCTGTTGTTTGTTCCACAAAACCCCTCCCACTGTCACCCAACCCTCAAGGTTAGCCAGGAGCCAAGGGCCTGCCTCATAGCTGTCAACATCAACCACTCAATGGCAACCCAGATGGACAAAGCATCTAGTAAAAGCACTATTTTTTAATATCACTGAAACAAAATGAACAGGTTATAGAGCTAAGTTTTAAAAGTCAGCTACTGAACTGGATGTTAAGTAAGATTCCAGTTTAGCAGAAGAGAAAGTAAGTCAGGGTATGTTTACCTGCATAGGAAAAAAGAATTCAAAGGAAATGCACCAAAATGTTAACCATAGGCCTTTATCAATGGATGGTGTGCCTTTCTGGGTTTTTCTAGTTTTTAGTGGGCCTATTTTACTTTGATTATTATTTTAATATAACCAATCACAAAAACAATTGTTATAATCAAGATTTGGTCACTCAGTTGTATTTCCTTCCTTTATAAGCAGTGGATCATGACATTCTTTCCCTTGTTTTACAAATAAAGCTGTACCCAGAAAGGTTAAATGACTTGCTTGAGGCTATATAGCTAGTGGCAAAGGCACAACTGGAACTAGAAGTCTTCTGGTTCAGTGCTTTTTCCACTAATCACTCTGCCTTACTGTTTCCGTTTGACCTTGCATTACTCTCGTAGGCCTGGAGCAGGAAGCAGCAAATGTTCTTGCTAGTCAATCAGGTTTCCAAGTCCAGAGCCACCTTGGAACAGACCCAAGAACCAGGCCCCAAACGCTTTCTCTATGTCAACTGCCACAGCGAGGGACAGCAGAGAATGACCTGGCCACCCACACCCACGTAGGTCCAATCACTCTACTAATGAGGAAGTCAGAAAAGCAGATTTGTTAACAAGCAGAAGAGCCAACACCCTGGGCAGACTCCTTTGGTGATAGCTGTTATCTACCAGTGCTCCAAGTTGCACCAGCTGAGGTCTGGTACCCACCCCACTGCCCCCTCCCCCCCAATAAAAGGTGAGTCACTGGCTAGAAGTTGGACTGGCTGTCGAAATGATACAATACCTAAAAGGTGAGTGACTCAGGCTTAGATAATGGGGCCTCTACCCCTGGGCCCAGCCCAGTTCACTATTAGCCAAAGCTACCTAATATGAGGAAAATGAGCACCAAGGCATTTGCTTTAGAAGGTTATGACCCCACAGAGAAATTCAGCAATAGCTGCTAGGATATCCTCATGATCGAGACATCTATAAATCTTCTTCTCCTTTATTTCTTACCATTTTTCCTCGTCTAGTAAACACTATGTTCTGATTTAATCTAACACAGGGTTGGCAGCCTGTGGGCCAAACCTGTTTTTGCACAGTTCCAGAGCTAAAAATGGGCTCTTATATTTTTAAAAGGTTGTAAAAAGAACAATACACAACAAAAATGATACATGGCCTGCAAAACCTAAAACAGTTTTATCTAGTCCTTTACAGAAAAGGTTTGCCACCCCTCATTCCAAAGCATTCTCTCAGGGCAAACCATCTACCAGCCCAAACATCAATCATGCCCTTTTTCAGATCACCAAAGAGTCCCCTGGGATGAGCAGTAAAGTCAGAAGAGGCAGCTTTAGTGACCTTTCAGAGTGTCACTAATGTACCACCCTCAAAAGATGCCACCCCCATTTCACTTTATAATCAAATGTAAGAACCAAAACACAAAGTGTCAGTCAGGGCTTTTGTGAGATCAAGGTTTGTTTTAAATTTGAGATTAAAATCACCAAGGGGAGGGTTCTCCCTTCACTGTCAATTCTGGCCCAGAAGAAAGCCTAAACCCTAAACTCCGAATACCAAATCAGATGCTAAAGAAATTCACAAGAGCAAGGGAGTGTCCCACAGCCCCAGGCACCAAGCTCCTTTGTGGTGCTGCCTATCACTAACAGGGGGTTAGGCAGAAATAACAGAAACTCTTGGCATAGAAGCAAAGGCCACTCTTCAGGATGTAGAGCAGTACCCATCACAAGTCATTTTCTACAATTAGATACATGACTTTTATAATGAAAAAGTAACAAAAAAAGCAAGTCAATATTTAGTAAAATCACAGAAGGAAAAAATGCAAGTATCTCTGATTTAAAAACAAAAAAAAAACACTTAGAAGGAGAAAGAAGAGAGCCTGAGTGACTCATTCATCTGACTTGATTTCAGCTCAGGTCATGATTCCAGGATCGTGGGATCAAGCCTGGCATTGGACTCCGCACTGAGTGTAGAGCCTCCTTGAGATTCTCTCCCCTCCTCTACCCCTCTCCCCTACTCGCTCTCTTCCTCTCTCTAAAACAATAAAAAAAAAGAAAGAAAAAGAAAGAAAGAAAGAAAGAAAGAAAGAAAGAAAGAAAGAAAGAAAGAAAGAAAGAAAGAAAGAAAAAGAAGAGCTATCCCTTTTCACTATCTTTAAAAGACCCTTACCTTCCCCTTTTCTTCCTTACCTGAGTCGTCGGCGAGGGTCAGAGGGCGTCCCCGTCCGACGGGCAGTGCCGTAATCGGACATCATGCCGTAATCCAGGTCATCATAGCCCATGCTACGCTGGTCGTCCTCTAGCCCGTACGGCTCTGGATGAAAACGATGCAGATCCACACTGCTCCCACCTACCCGAACCTGGGGCTGGGGCCCGTAGACATCCTGTCTACTAGGTGCCCGGTAACCTTCCATGCTTGGCCGATACCGCTCCTCAATACGGGTCACCCGGGACAGACTGCCATAGTTGTCACTGCTACTTGGATAACCATCCTCATAGTGGCGGCTATATCCATCAGGAGGGTAGTGGAAGTTCCTGGGAAGAGTAGCAGTGCCCGCTTGCCCCACGTAGGGACCAGGTCCCCCATTGCCATTCTTGCGGAAGTCACGACCCAGAGTCTGGATATAGTTGTTAGAAACTGACGAGGCGTCCACAGGCAGCCCATCTGGTCCCACAGGGACTGGCTGTACTGTCCGTGTTGTCACAGTCTTCACCACTTTCTTGACCTTTAAGTGAGGAAAGAGAAAAGAGTGAACCAAAGATGCTTAAATTCTAGACTGTTCTAAGACATGATATAAACTCCTACTGCCAGCTCACTTTATCTAGAAATGTCTTACACTTTACCATCTACCCTTCACTCCATCTCAGAGGAAGTTCCCAGGCAGGACAGCTGTGCTGGCAGTAATTGTGCCTATAAAGGAAGCCACTGTGGACCTTGCAAGGCTCCTTTCCTCCCCATTCCACTGGATTTTCCCAGATCTCTCCTATAGTCCCTGTCTGGCCAGAGATCCCTTTCTTTATGCCTCCACTGCATACAACACCTTTCATCACCCTAAGTTTTTTTGTTTTTTTTTTTATTTTTAAATTTTTTAAATTAAAAAAAATTTTTTTTAAAGAGACAGAGAGACACAGCACAAGTAAAGGAGGTTCAGAGATAGAGGGAGACAGAATCCAAAGCAGACTCCAGGCTCCGAGCCTGACACAGAGGCTCAAACTCACAAGCTGTGAGATCATGACCTGAGCTGAAATCAGGCACTCAACCGACTGAGCCCCCCAGTGCCCCATCCTAATTAAGTTCTTAATCCCTCCCAGTAAAGACCACAGGAAGACCTCCTCCATCATCCCAGACCTCGTACAAGTCTTAGCTTACTGTGGTCTCTGTGCGCCGAGTAGTTCCATCATCAGAGGTCTCCACAGAGACAACAGACATGGCTCCCTCCGGGTCCTCCTCCGTGTAGGTCTCCACAATCTGCCCTGGCTCCTGCATCCTGGGAATGGTACTATACACAAGGTGACTGTGATCCTGTATGGAAAAGAGAAAAAGCAAGGAACTACTAACTATTAAGTCATAAAGATCAACAGTCCAACCCAATGAGAAGCAGTCTCCCTAGAGACAAAGACTCCTCATGTGTCTTCCATGAGCCTCAGGATTTTTAGAGGGGTAGCTTTCCTACCTTTCCCCACCTTGTATAAAAGAGCAGAAGATATAATTTCCGAGGTCTAGTCATTTAACAATTATGAACTGAGGGGCGCCTGGGTGGCTTAGTTGGTTGAGCATCCGACTTTGACTCAGGTCATGATCCTGCAGCTTGTGAGTGAAGCCCCGCAGCAGGCTCTGTGCTGACAGCTCCGGATTTTTTGTCCCCCTTTCTCTCTGCCCCTCCCCTGCTGATGCTCTCTCTCTCTCCTTCTCTCAAATATAAATAAACATTTAAAATATATATATATATATATATATATATATGTATGTATATATGAACTGAATTAATTACAGGCACATCAACACCCAAGTGACAGAGACAGCAGATTTAACTTCCCAGTTCTGGTCATCGAAGTGAATACGAACTGTGTTTACCGCAACTACATCTGTATCTGAGTGATCCTTTAAAAAAGAAGTTCAACCAATAAAGAACTTTTAAGATGAACCAGAAAATCCCCAAAAGAATCCCCATCTTCCAACTGGCTCTGTTACCCTTCAGAAACTGCCTAAGGCTCAAGACTAGTCAGATTTCAGGAAGAAACAGAAGCACTCCCATTCCAGAAAAGGGATGCAGTAAGTGAGGGATCAAATACCAGATCAAAGGACATTAAGATTCATTCCAAAATACATGTATCTCTATGACGAAGCTCCACTTTTTCATTTTCCTAAATTTTTTATTTTCCTAATTAATGGGGGGGGGGAGGTACTTACAATGTACCAGGCACTTTACAAGACATCCATACGCTCTTATAGGCTGGGGAAAGAAGAAGATACGAAAGAAGCAGCCGAGACTGTGAACCTAAGAAGTTACCTGGGGTCCGTTGAGTTTCAGATCTGAAAATTTCTGTCGCTCAAGGTCAGCATCGCCCACAAACCGGCCGTTCTGAAACACAGGCCACAAGAAGATAATTCATTTTGTGGCCTTCCTTTGCTCTATCAAATGATCTTTTTTTCCAAACAGGAAAAGGGCTTTCAAAATGATATTTGTGGCCTGGAGTCCTTCTGTCAAGTTACTTATAAAAGAACAACATCACTCCGTAGTTGGAATTGGGCTTGGTACTAGCAGGCTGGGTCTCTGGAGTATAAGAAGGTAAGCTCCATGAGGGCAAATGTTTTTTGTATTTTTATTTTTCGTTTTTGGGTCACTTTTGTTCAATGATATATTTCCAGTGCCTTGAACAATGCTTGGCACATAACAGGCACTCAAAAACTAATAGCAGAGACTCAGGTAAGTCCTTAAAACGTTAAGGCTAGGTTGGGGAGTTTCCAAAGGCCTTCTTTATTGCTATGTGCATCTTCATGCTCTACTACCACTGGAAACTCCCATTTCAAAGAGACGCAAGAGATAGGAGTCTCTCTTTCCAACAGGATGGAAACGAATACCCCAATTCTCCTCCAGCAGACTGTTGTCTCGACAGTATCTTCACCAATGTTTAGAGTCACAGACACAAGTTACTCCATCTTAAGCAGCAGGAAATAATTCTGACAACATTATACTATGTAAAAATACATTTGACTGCTCCTCTTCCAATAGAAAACTGTGAGATCCAGCTACCTTGGAAGACTCCCCGCCCCCCCTTCTCCCATTACATAGGGAGTATAATGCTGCAGGGAGAGGAAGTTGAACATTATTTTCAGGAAGAAGGAAGGGTGTGGCTCACTGCTGAACAGAAGTTAAAAATAATAAAGAGAGAAAGAGAAGCCTTCTACTAACTCCAGGAATTCCCCACCCCCTCCGAGCCTGAGCAGTCCTGCTCTCCCCTTTCCATATGTACCTCTCATTCCTGACCCTCAATTCCTATAAAAATCCTAGGAACACTGCAAACGCACTAACTCCAAGTTCCTGATCATCCTTAAATGGACTTCCGTCCTCTCACTCAATATGCTCCTCAGCATGAGGGACCTTCTCTGTCTTACAAAATGAATAATCAATGAAGAAGACTACTGGAGCATGAGCTGGAGCACAAGCACTGTTGTTAGTTCCCATCGGAGATCTCTTAACATGGAGTCTACTGGGCAATGCCTACTCTACACACACACACACACACACATAACCTCAGACAGACTATATCACAGCAAAGTCAGACCAGAGAAACCATAGGAAACACAAGATACTTCTCATTTCTAACACCAACTCTCCTAAGTCACATCACAGAGTCAGCCAACCCAGAGACCACTGGCTCCTGTGGTTATCTGGGCTCTGGGTTAAACAGCAGCACCATGCTCCTTCTCCAGCTCTAACCAATGACCCCTTCCCTCCAAGACACAATTTGCAAAGCCAACAAAACAAGCACGCAAGGACAATATGGAGCAAGAAGACACAATTTATGGACACTGCCACACCTTCTTAGCAGACCGTTCCCTTAGGGAGACTGAACTGGAGCCGAGAATACAAGATCCCCAACTGCGCCAACCACTAAGCAGCCATTCACTTTCCTGAATTTTTGATACTAAGTTGGTGGAAGAATCAGAGGAAACAGAAGTAACTTGAGAACAGCTGCAAACTATACGATGTACCATTACTAGAATTATATCCCAACCCAAAAACCCCACTCCAGCAAAACAGGAAGTCAGACAGATGCTTCTCGAGATAAATCCACTCAACCCAGGAGAACAGCAATATCCCCTATGTCTTAACATCACTATCGAACATCCCTGGATAGGTTCGCCATGAAGCATGGGCACTGGACAGCCCATCACCACAGGGGGAAAGTAGTTTCCCACGTAGGATGATAGCCTCTCTATGACCATGCCAAAATCCTACCTGCAGGTCTGATGGAGAGAGGGGTTACCTGATGCCGGCGGGTGAGGGTGCCGTTGGCCATGAGGGGGTTGGCATCTTGTGGTGAGACCCGGACGCGTTCCAGTTGCGCCGAGACGTGGCGCCGTTCCTCCTCCAGCGCCCGGGTCAGCTTCTCAAACTGGGCCTCTTGTTCCTTCACAGAGGCCAAGATGCTGGCGGTCGACTCCACCTCTGAGTCGTCCATGAAGGTAAGGGGCGGAGCCGCCGCAGGGCAGGGTAAAAAGGAAGGTGTGGATCACAGAGGGAGGAGCAAGGAGGGAGAAGGCCCCCCTCACTTCACACTACCGGGAGAAGGTAAGAGAGAGGAGAGAAAAGGTCACAGGTCAGAGAAGACAGACGAATCATTAATCCCAGAGCCAAAGATGCCCTCTTGTGGTTTTACTGCAATGCAGAAAGCCAGCCACCACCAAGCCTGGGAGCCCGTCACCAGTGTCTGCTCAAGCAGGATCCTCTGCCCACTGCCCTTTCATAAACACCTCACCAGAAATAATTACCAAATGGAAAGGTGCACCTAGATCCAGGTCTATGCTGTTGGCAGGAGAAGGGGAATACAGCTAAGGGCGGTAGTCATGACAGGAGATTAAAATTAGGTTATTTTTCCCTGGAAAAATTTGCTGGCATCAACTCAATGAAAATTGTAACGTCACAGTACAGACCAGGGCGGGCAAGGGCAAGGGCGAGCCACTGCTAGAGGTAAGGGGGCAGTACAGATCCACAGATCTTCCTCAACCTCCCCAAATCTCAACACTGAAATTGCTGCAGTGGTGGCAATACACTAAGTCAATATGCTAACTTAAAATGCCAGTAAGAAACGGAAATACTAAAAACTTCCTATCAAATGCAGGAAACAACATGAAGGCCCCCATATTGAACACGTTTATGAAGGGGCCTTTCTACTCTTCAAAGCAGCACTACAATGCTGGAAGGCAAACCGTGTGCCTTGGCTAAAGGAGACAAAGTGAGCAAAACACCCCACAAAAATTCCATTTGTCAAAAGGCACCCCGTGCAGCGATCTTCACCTCCCTTGGGGAGTAGGAAAATGAGCGTGAGGCTCAAACTCTGAAACTGCCCCTTGAAGTAGTTCATATTTTAACTTACAGTCAATTGCTAGAATTCTGCAAATTCTACAGAAAGCTCTAAATAAACCAACTGCATCTTTACTTATTCCGTAACTCCGGGTAATATCCAAGTATCTAGAGGGTTGGTGTGCTAGTTATATAATAAATGATAGTTATACAAAAATGAAGAGTTCCCCCTATCCTAGTACATTAACTGCAAGTTGGCCAGTAAATGGAAGGGCACTGTAGTCATACCGTTGGACGTAATAAGGTTTCCTGCTTACAAATTGGCTATAGGAGATTTGATGGCCAGTCCACAATATACCATGTCAAGAGGCAGGTTTTAAAATAAATTCTCTTCCCCTCCTTCTCCACCCTCTCATCAACCCCCTAAAGAAAAAAGACACTTAAAAAATTTATTCTTAATAAACATAATTCCATACACACCTGTTAAGAGAAGGTCGTAATTGATTGGCTTAACACAGAGAACAGCCCAGTCTAGATTCAAAAAATCATGGGAGAAGCATCCCAGCCACCACAGCAAGGAGGAAGCAGGAAGGAGAGAGCTGCAGAAATATTTGGAGGAAAAATGGGAATGAGAGGAAAATAATATATACACAAAACATTAAAAAAATAAGAGGAACAGGGGCAAGTCCTGGGAGAAGGACAATCTGGAGATGGAAGGGAGTGATGTATAAAATATGACTCGGGACTGCTTCATGTGACAAATGCCCTTTGGACTTTGCTGTGTCTTCAAATATCTGGACGTTGGATGTAGTTTTCATTAAAACCTGGATTCTCCTGTCAGAGAGTACTTCTGTACAGAACCAGGGGCAGGTTATAATATAGATAAAAACTCACTTACCCTCTATTCCCAGCAACCAAATTGGGGAAAAATTTTTTTTTGCTGTTGGAATGCCCTTCCCCCGCCTTCCCACCTCTAAGGCAGAAACCTCAAAGCCCAGTCCCAGCACGCCCACAAAGACATTGAGAAACCAATGCAACAGTTGTAGTGGGGAAGACATGTGGAGACTAGTCTAGGCTGAGCGTTTTGCTTCAGTTCCCTTTCCCACGCTCCCCAGGGCCCCACCAAACACAAATGCTTGGGCCCCTGGGCCCGTGTGCTTTAGAGCATACGCAGCATTCTGTAAGCAAGAGCACCCAGAGGAGCAGATAGACAGGTGCCCAATAAACTCCCTAATTAGTCCTCCACCACTAGGCTCCTTCCAGCGGATCCAGGGCCTAAATCCAAGAATGTGGCAGCCCTCTCTAAATTCCTCCTACCCCGGCTCTGGGCTCCCACAGTCACACTCATCAACTCCTGTTCTTCCTTCCCGTCTACTGCCAACTTCTCCTGTTTCCACTCTATATCCCAACAGGCCACTCAAGGGTCTTTAATGAAAAGTATCCCCATTAAAAAAAAAAAAAAAAAAAAAAGCTGCTCCCTTTTCCTCTCTATTGCTTCGTTTTAACCACTGCCCTTCTCCGCCATGTACGATGACCTATGAACCTTCCATACCAAGAGGACTCTCAGCCCAAGCAAGAGAGATTCTTCCAATTCTAGGTTTCAACAGGGCCCAAACTATAGTTACCACTCTGGCAGCCTCTGCCCTGTAATCTCCTTTACTAATAAAAGCCCAAACCGCCACTATTAAGGGGCATGCAGTGAAAACACCCCCTGATGCAGAGAAACTGTCACTCTGGCATAAACAACCACTTTTTACCCCTACAGCTTTAGATTAAAAGAAGGAGTTAAGAAAGGTTGTAGGAAAACTATCCAGGGCTCTAGGCCAGGAAGCACAATCTTTTCCCATGTTCATGGCTTTAAAGCTTGGCCACCTGGCTCTAATTTGGAGAAGAGGACAGCACAGTTAAGCAGAAAGAGAGGGTCAGATTCCTGGGCCTAATAGTGTGGGGAGATTTTCTGTCTGAGAGAGAGAGAAGCAGAGGCTGTGTGGGTTAGGACTCAGAAGACTGGTCCCAGTCCTGGCTCTGCCACTAGCCTACAATGGCAGAAAGTCACTGCCATGTTCTCATCTGTAACATGCCAACATCACCAGCCCAGTTTAACTGAGGGTTGCTAAGAGGATCAGGTGAGATAATGTACATCATACAAATGTGAGGTATTAATGTTGTTTCAGGAGTTAGTTTCTATCTCCCAATTATATTACTTAATGGTAATGCCTCAGCCCAAAACTATTCTGTGAGCTAGTAGATGAGACTCACTGGATCAAGAGCGTAACTGGGTTCTAAGGAGTGGATGAGCTGGTTCCCCTGCTCCAACTCTATTTACTAGGAGGTCCCACCTAGACCAGTGTTTCTGGGACAGAGGGTGCAGCATTACAGACCTGCTATAATAAGTTCTTGACCCCTTATTTGAGGCCTTAGTAGTTTATTACCGAGGAGAAAGGGAAGGTGAAAAGAACTGACAATTACTGAATGTTTTACGTTTATTATCTTGGCATTACTTACAACCCTAAGGAAGTAAGTTCTACTGCAAATGAGAAAGCAGGCTCTAGGTGAAGAAATTACCCAAGGTCTAGGTTAATAGCAAGTTCCAAATATAAACTCAGATCTGTTCCATTCTAAAGCCTGTGTTCTTCTTCTACTACATGCTGTCAAGCCCAAAAAATACAAGCCCAGTAGAAGATGGACAGTCCAGTCCTTCTCCCCCACAGTCCTTGAGCTTTCTGCCCAAACATCACAGGAAAGGGGGGAAGGGGAGGCTTCCATTTTTCCTTAAAGGCTTATTCATTACGTTTACATATAAGACATAGGTGGGAGAACAGAACCCAATGGGAGGAAAAAGCAAGCAGAAGTGGGGGAAGAGAATGAAGCTGCTGGCAAGCTACAGAACACTGCCTCACAACTCAGACTTTAGCAAAGTCTTCTCCATGCCATACACACACACACATATTACGCTTTAGACCAGAGTCTGCAAACCATTAACTGACTTTGGCAATTAGAGTCAAGAAAGCCACGGGAGTCCAGGCCAACACCTTTCTTAATATTTTCAAATGAGTTAACACTGGCTCTCACTATAAAAAGACCATCAAGGAATTCTCAAAGTGGGAAGGAACAGGGGAAGGCCACACATAAAGTGAGCCCTGCTATTCCCCTAAGACTGGACTTTCCCTTAAGACTACAATTGGTTTTACTTCTAACAAGCCAGACTTGTGAGTCTACAGCAAGGCCTTGACAATGGTACAAATTCAGTCTCTTCCACAAGAATCCCAAACCAGAAGTTAAAGTGGATCAAATACCCAGCAGGACCAAACAGACCATGCCAACCAGGTAGCTGGACACACAAAAAAAAAAAAAAAAAAAAAAAAAAATTCGCACTAGCACAGTCCCTGGAATGGTCTATTCTACTGTCCCATAGAAATGTAATTTGGAATTATGATTTCTAAAGGTTAAAAATACAGGATTTAGAATCAGACTAGGTTCAAATCCCAGCTTCACTGTTTCTTAGCTATAGTGCTTTGGGCAAAGTACCACTTAACCTCTAAACCTCAGGTTCCTTTTCTGTAAAATGAGGGAAACAAAATACATGTAAGGGTAGTTGTGAGAAGTACATGAGACAATAAACATAAGATTCTTGGAAAAAGGACTTGACACACAGAAAGCTATTAATATGGTTACTAATACAAACACTACTACAAATAGCTAACACAAAGGACTAGAGTTTGGTGGTATTGACAGTTTTTGAATACACCACATGTTTCCACATGCTCCCCTCTCTGCTTTACAGCAGACCAGTAAACTACAGGAACTCTTCACACTCTCAAAGGGAAAAACAAAATAAAACTCCAGATTAGGGCCAAAAGACCTGGGGTTCAAGTCCTGTTTCTGCCAAAAACTAGCTGTGAGAACGAGCTTGCACGGGAAGTGATAACCCAGGTCATCTTCACTTTTATTACTTGTCAGGATTTAGCTTTAATGGGTTCATATATGTAAAACTACAGGCTGGGTGACTCCTACATCCATGCTATTCTGATAAATATATCCAATGAAGACATGACCAGAATTAGGCAAGCTAGCCCTTACAGAAAAGCGGAAAAAGTATTTGTCCTGAGATGGAGAACCCTAAACCCCACAAAATAGTCTTTGGGGTTCTTAGGAAAGAAACTGTATCTTCCATAGTCAATGCCAAAGCCAGTTCTCCTCTTTCCTTCCTTTTTATTCATCATGAAATCAAAACCAGTGTCACAAAAGTATGCCTTTCTAATGGTGGTTCTAATGGCGGTTCTAAGCAGCACACGGAGCCTCGTACTGAAGAACACCAATCAATAAAATACACCACCTGTCACACCACAAGCTGTACTACATACCAAGCCAACAAAGGTAGGTCTTCTAGACCCCTACAAGGCATTTGTTTCCCTTCAATGGCACTTGCTCCAAAATTCAGAGCAATTATTCCTGTTCAACCATACAAACAGAAGACTGCCGTTTTATTTTTAAATTAAAGGAATATATTTTGTCAACAGTTTCTCTCTGGCTTCTTCTCACAAAGAGTGCTTGTACCAGAGTCCAAGATCTAAGCACCCCACCCACCACCTGATGTTCCACCATCCCAAACTCAGTGAGAACAATTCCAGTATTCCTCACTTTGTTGGGAAGGCTCACTCCCACACTGAGCCAAGTCCCTGGACATGATTTGCATTAAGACCTAAAGGAGACTCTCCTCACTTCACCATCTCAACTGACTACTTCTCAGACTTACAGAACCGATATTCTGCAAATGGCCTTGTCTTGGGTGTTAGCAGTTTCTGAGCTTTCCCGTGGGCCTGCTGGATGTGGGGCCCAGCTTCTCCACTAAGAGCACCCAAAAGGCAGACGGGGACTTTCACTTTCCCAGGGAAAGCGTGGGTCTCACTGTGTCCACCATGAATCTCTCTGAGGAAATAAGGTGAATCTCTCTGAGGAAATAAGGGAGTCTCTGACAAATCACTCTTCTCTTAGAAACAGGTGATACTTCTCATTGGAGTTTCAGAGAAAAGAAGGAAAATAAATATAAGAAGTTTGATTTTGTTTTTAAGTTTGTTTGTTTTTTTTAAAATACTGGGGCGCCCGGGTGGCTTAGTCGGTTAAGCGTCCGACTTTCGCTCAGGTCATGATCTCGCGGTTCGTGGGTTCGAGCCCCGCGTCGGGCTCTGTGCTGACTGCCAGCTCAGAGCCTGGAGCCTGTTTCAGAGTCTGTGACTCCCTCTCTCTCTGATCCTCCCCTGCTCACGCTCTCTCTCTCTCTCTCTCTCCTAGAAATAAATAAAAAACATTAAAAAAAAAAAATACTCCTTGTTAAAAGGAGGTTGAGCTGGCAATCTCTACCGGTCAACAGGACACCTTAAACACCCTTCAGTCTTATAATCCTGACCCAAAGTTACTTATCTATAGTTTTTACTGTAAAAGAAAAAAAATTGCCTCCATCATCTTGACCCTAAATTTGGAGACCAGAGGGAACACTCTCCTTGTTCTTTTCCTCTACCAAGTATTCTGGGAAGCCCCCAAACCATAACATAATAAATGGCTGAATGCTGGACTGGCTTTGAAAAAAAGGAAGGGTGTG